TTAAAATTTTTTAAAATTAAATTCCTTTGTCAACAAATATTTATAGGTACCTACTAATTTATAACAATTGTTTTTAAAAAATATAAAGTAGTGTATTAATTGTCAAAATTAAAGTTTAAGTAAATAAAATATTTTATTAAAAATTTCCAATTTAATATTTTCTTAGCTTAAGAAAATTTTTATACTTTTTTCGAATTTCTGTAGCTGCCCTCCCCCTGCTTCTCCTTGGCGACGCCCTTACTGCTGTCTTTTCATGTAGTGTGGAATAATTGGTTGACAAATATCTCGAAAACTAGATAAATATCTCCCATACTAATAACAGTAAGTTAACGACACCATTTTTATATTTGAGCACTATTTATTTAATTGGCAATTCAATATTTTCCAAGCCTGCCACATTCTTTTATTTTTCGAGATATTAATGAGAGTTATCGAAAATTGTGTAGCCCTGTTCATGCATTCTAAGGAATATTTCATATATAGAAAAAAAACTGGTTGATATATCTTAAGATACAATAAATATAAATTTTTATATTTGGAATTCTTATTATTTATTACTATTTCTAATATAATAAATTCCGATTCTTAGTTTTTGCAATTCTTATTTGTTATCGCACACTTTGTTACTTTAAAATTTGATAAAATTTATTTAGTTTGCTAATGTTGAATAACTTTTTTCCAACTTTAATTTTGATAAGAATATTTCCATGAATATTGTCAATACATAAACAATACACGCTTAACATTACACTTGACTATGTACTAAAGTAGGACAAATACTGAAATTCAAGTTGCTGATTCTTAAATTGATATTTTGAAAATGTAGAGAAAAATTTTTGAAAAGAGAAATAAATTTTAATTGTTATTTTTGTGTGACTGTGACATCTACCGTTAATTTGTCAAAAGACATCTATAGACAGGAGGGCCCTTTAATAACTACATGGTTTATGTTTTGGTATAGTATCATGTAACTATTTTAAGCAAAAGCTTTGGGTTTTGTTTTAAATTTAAATTTAAGCGTTTAGTTTATATATATGGGAATATCATAACAGTAAGTAAGTACAAATAATTTATTATAATTAAAATTAAATTGATAAGCAATTATTTGATTGACATTTTTAAATTTAGTAATTTCTTCATTATTCTAATAATATATTCATTACAGATTATACAAGAGTTGTGAATATAGGAGAGTTCAAATTAAGACAATTGTATTTTTAATTATTTATGAATTTCTTGCGGTTTCAAACATTGCACGACTGGTACTGGTAACGAAAAATCCCTTAAATACTGGTGTCAGCAATATTCCGATTCGTTTACAATAAACAGTAACAAACCGTTACGCCTACGCTCGAGATAACATTTTATTTGGTCCCACAGTTCTTTATGGTTCATGAAATAAAGATTAGGTTTTATTTTTTGACATTTCTTAATCAATTCATTTTGACATTATTCGAAATCTTGCAAAGTCGTCTTTGTTTGAATTTTGTCGTTTCTAAGGTGTTTATAAACAAAGCTACATACAAGTTGCACTGGTTTTACTGGTTTTTTAATTATTATTTCTAAATGAATGATTTTCAAATAGGAAGTGCAGCAAATGCTGCCTGCAAATTTCTATTTCCCGAGAAGTCGAAAGTGCCAGAACAAAAATACTGGTGTTTTTGAAATGTCACTGTTAGCATATTTCAAGGAAAAGTCAAGAACTTTAAAGTCACCGGCGAGTTTGTGGAGTGAATACTCAATGATTAAGTAAACTGTTCTCATAGAGAAGGACGTGGATATATCAAAATACCCCAAGCTGAGAGCATTTCATCAAACGTAAGAATGACGGCAATACACCTATACAGAGAATAAGTCAACGATTTTCTCGTTCAGACACCCGATATTTGCTAATGAGGGTAAGGACAGTCTTAGGCATTGCAGGAACATGCCGTTCTGATGAGTTATGCAAACTTACTTTGGACAACGTCAATTTAAAAAAAATTCAATGACATTATTGTATAGTAAGATCATATTCGATGCAAAGTAATAAATCATTGCCTGTCAAAGGATCCAGTGCAGTACGGTTTTAAGGGGTTTAGAAATTGAATAATTCCTTTATGTAACGAGCTTTCAAGTTGGTTCTGAAAATTTGGACGTAGGGCGTAGCGTATAGCAAATGAACTTAAACGTCATCTGTCAAAGCGCTATATCGCCGCTATCAATTTGAATATTTTCGTTTTAAAAAGCGTTTAAAATGGTGTTTTCTCAAGAACAAAAAGTGTTTATCATAGAGTCCTACTTTAGAAATGGACGCAAGATTGATGGAATATTGAAGTATTCTATTGAGGAATGTTTCATAGAATTTCAAAATCAATTTCCCGGCGTTGTTGAGTACAAAATCTTTCAAAGTGCAGTTCAGCGTTGTGTTAATGTTTTTCGTGAAACGGGCAGTGTAACAAGAAAAGAAGGAAGCGGCCGACCTAAAAAGCGGACTGAAGATTAAAAGAAAATGTCCAACAAATAATGGAAAATGCGCCAAGAACTTATGTACGTGTTTTATCACAAATGGTGCGAGTATCAGTCGGTATCTGCCACACAGTGTTAAAAAAAGATTTGCGTTTGTTCTCCTATCGTTTAACTTGTCAGCAAGAACTTCATGAAATTGATTTTCCGCGACGGGCTGTATTTTGTGAATGGTTTTTTAACAACTACGGTGAACTTCATAATATCACCTTTTTTCTGATGAACCCTGGTTTCATTTAAGTGGTTACGTAAACTCACAGAATATGAGAAAGTGGTCTTCTGAAAAACCAGATAACTTTTTTGTCGAGGGCCCTCTACACGCTCAAAAAATTGGAGTTTGGTGTGCTCTCAATCGAAGGAGGATTTATGGACCTATTTTTTTTAATGGTACTCTTACTGCGCAAAGGTATAGAGAAGAAATTATCGCTCCTTTTGTTAACCAGCTGGAAGAAAACGAAATTACAAACTTTTACTTTCAACAACATGGCGCAAGGGCACATACGGCAGGCGAGACGATGAATATGTTGAGGGAAGTTTTCCAAAATCGACTAATAAGTCTCAATGCTGAACATGAATTTCCACAGAGGTCATGTGATATTACGCCGTGTGATTTCTTTTTGTGGCCTTAAAAACACTATTTTTGAACTGCCTATTCCTGATATAAACCATCTGCAGGCTCGACTTATAGACAAGATTCGTGAAATTAACAATACCCCGAGCATCTTAGAAAATGTCTTTAATTCTCTGACGAACAGGTGTGAAAAGTGCTTGGAACAAGCAGGGGGACGCTTTCAGCAGCTGCTTTAATTTATTGTTATAACAAGGAGGGGGACACTTTCCGCAGCTCCTTTAATTGTTTGTTATTGTTATCACGGTTTAACGTTATTGAAACTGACAGCTGCTATACAGCTCGTTGAGAAATGAGGTTAAGTTGGTCGCTATAAGCTACTCCCTACGTCCAAAGTGTCAGAGCCAACTTCGACCACGTTTTTATTTGAACGCTCGTTATTATGAAGGGATGAAGGGATCAATTCACGTCTGGCACCCCTGTTCCTACAAATATTCCTTTATTCTCATAAACTATTTATTTTAAATGTAACTTATTATAAATCTAATGTGTTTTTTAAATTCCACATATGTACTACTTTTACCTCTGTTGTTTACTTGTTTTTTGGAGGCGGTCTTTGATTTACGACCAAGCTCGCCAGGTTAATTTTTGACGTATAACCAATCACTTCGTACACTCGATGCACCTGGTCGACTACAGCTATTACGAGAACACAATGCGTATGATGCGGTATTTCAGATTATATATTCAATTTCATTTTAAATTTGAAATGATTTATCTTACGCGTCCTAAAAATGATGACATGATTTTCCTTTGATAAAGACTGACAATTTTTTGCTTTACTTTGCATCTAATACGATCCTACTATAGTTTCAATTCCAGATGCTAAAAATGGTACGTACGTTTACAATTACTTCTCGTCTGGGTTCTGCTTCTCACCTAAAAATTCTCAAGAAATATATCAAGATTAGATTGGAAATTAAAATTGAAATTTCACGCTTTTTTATGTGCTATCAAGCAGGTAGATGTTACAACCAACCAGCCGGCAAGAATACCCTTCATGTGATTCCTAAAAAGATTGCACAGTTTTTTAAACTAGAACATCCTGAAACATATACAGACCATGCATTCCGAAGAACATCGGCAACGTTACTGGCTAATACAGGAGTTGATGTATTAGCAATCAAGAGACATGGTGGATGGAAATCAGACACAATTGTTTAAGTAACAAAAATGAAATAGCGAACAGGATTATTTACAATGACACTTCAACTCCAGGTTCTAGTAGTACGTCGCATCATGCTGTTTTAATGGATGAGTCAGATAATACTGTGCCTATGGTGACTGAAATGGAGCGGTCAAATAATTTTGAGAAAAATGTGACAATTTTAGTAAACCCGAGGGGAATAATTATCCAGATTTTATAAATGTTACTAAATGTAATAACTGTACAATTACTATAAACATTCATTCATAATAATTAATAAAATGTAATGTTCATCAAATATTTCTATTTATTTGTTCATAAATATGATTTATAACTTGAAATCGCTTTTTTCCCTAGGGAGGTAAGTTACCTCACTTACCCCCCGTTGTCCATAGCAACTTCCACTTCTACGGTAAAATTCACTTACCTCCTTAAAAACAATGTATTAGTAGTCTATTTACTGTAGTGGGAACAGATAGTATTTTGCTTGTACTGACGAGAGAAAATAATCCCGAAAGTTTGTCGTAGCTTCGCTTTACACCTTGTATAATAACACATACCTACCACGTTGCTCTTTGCACTGATAAGTTGTTTAGAGGTACAGGATTCCTATCCCTCCCAACAAAATTCGAATTAACTTTTTACGTGACCGTGCAGTTGCGCCAGTCCAAGTTAATCATTCACAGTAAGGAAAGTTAAAACTTACATGAGTCACTCAGGTAGAACTTGGTGGGCACTCAGTCAGCGGAATACCTGGTAATTTTTATTGTTTACGTTAGTTACATGCAGTTGTGTTGCGACGGTTTTGCTGGAAATATGGTGTTCAGTATTGTTTGTAGGTGTTGTTAGTGGTGTTATTTTGTTTACAAAAGTAGCCACCTCACTGATACTCCTTCGGAAGCAGAAGTCCGACCGTAAACATATTGGTGAGTTGAAATATATTGGTTTAATTAAGTTAGTCCGTAAAAATCGGCCTTCGTTTCACTTTAACATTTTCTAACTTAATTAGTAGCTGTTGCAATGGTTTTACCAACCACATTGATTTCCAGTTAAAGTCGTTTATTAACGATTAAGTACAGATGAGGGAAAAATATACCGGTTGTGGTATATTTAGAATAAATCAGAATATGAACAGATCGTGCAAGTAAACCTGACGAAACTTACTTTAAAGACAAGGTTAACTTATTTCACAGCAGTGTTACAGTTAATTTAATATCAGAACATGTAAAATACCTTGAAAATCAGTCCTTACTGAAATACCCGCAACCAAATGTTTATATTAAGCTTTAAATAACGTTTTCCTTTTACTTATTTTATTTTATTATAACTTCCATCAAGTGTTTTTCATATTCACAATCATGTCATCCCTCATGCCCATGTTTTTATCTGTATCACAAATCAATCAAATATTGCTAAAATTTGATAACGCTTATCTATTAGTGATATACAATGCAATACCAACATGAAGTTACGAAACTGTAAGATCAAGGTCGGATCAATTAATAGAACAAATTTACAACATACTTAAATAAGAAAAAATCGTTCTAACGAGACAATATTGAAGTACTACACCTTGTGCGGTGCACATTAAAATTTATATCTTCAATGTATATACCAAAAAGTTTTACTGATGATGTAATTATTAATTCATCTTACCAAAAGTAAGCAGCTGCGGCGGATTCTTCGACATGTTTCAGTATTTTTTTTATATTTTTAACCAGTGCTAATGGAGGCATATGACAAATATTCAAATTTGATTACAGCACATGCCTCCAATTTTGGGCAGGTGTTTGCATACATTTAAAATAATTTCGTAAATTTGTATCGTGTTTAAGAAACATGTCGAATTCGTAAGTAATTTTAAAATAATCTTATTTAATACTTTCGTGAGTGACTAAAAGTTGTTTTCCTTTGTTTTGGGAAGGCACCTTGCAAATTAAAGAAAAATCAGTTACGATTATTTTCAATAAACTTATATTTTCAAAAAATTCGCAATGAAGAATAGGAAAATCATTGTATTTTTTCTAAAATTGTCAAATTTCTGAAATTTTTAAAAGTGATTTACATTTAAGTTTTAGAATAAAATTAATCGTGACAACACAAAGTAATAAACTGTGATAGATAGCTGACCCGAATATGAAACTATTTTATTTAAAATAAAAACAAGAACCAAACATTGCAGAATTTAACTCAACTTGGTACCACTGAGAACAAATTAAAAGTCGCCAAAATTAACCTATATTAATAACTTGGCCAAGAAGATCCTAATTTTGTTGCCTATAATTTTACAACAGTTTATACAGGGTGTCCCATCGGGAACTGCGTCGATCGATATCCAGAAAAGTACTTACTGCTCCGAAAAATTTGAAAATTTGGCAACATGGCAATGTCCCTGGGGCGAACAGAACTAAAATATCTAGAACTCTCCAGCACTTCCGGTTATACCGGAAGTCTACACCAACTTCATTATTTTAAATGGGACACCCTATATATTATTACATTTTCGTATTCTACGTGAAATTTGAGGGTCACTTTAATAAATATTTCCTATGCCTAGGAGTTATAGATTTTGAGATATTAATTTTTAAAGAAATTTGACAGATGCAAGGGTCCGAGGAGATGATAGTAACTCTTTTCAGGAACGTGATATCAAGCGGATTTTAGGTACCTATAAAGGGCATAGGTAACGCTAAATTATAGTATACCAACAAATTAAAACATTTAATGTTTCATTTTTGCTTTGATAACTTCAAACAGCTATAACTTTGTTAACTTAAATGGAACACCCTGTATTCTTTTACTCTGTCGTATGCAGATTGAAATTTCCTTTCAAGCCATATAAGCATTGTTAGGGTTGCCGTTACTACTTTTAAAGATATTTGGCAATTTTCAATTTTTTGGACACATTTTCCTCTTATCAGACTTGTCAACTTGGCCACGACCAGAACCACTCCAAAACAATTAAAATAATTTGACATTTGTCAAGTTAGTTATTGTTATGTCTGTAATAGTTTTCGCTGAAAATTTAAATAAAAATGCCTGGGGATCGTTTAAATTATACTTATGAGTATTATTTTAATGTATTTGTTATTTATGGAAAAAACAGCAGATTCTCTATATGTTCCTGAAATGACTTTGTCACATTGTTCAAATGCAAGAAGTTTTTCTCATTTGGTTTTGTTCGTATTCTGGTTTTTCTAGACTTTTCAGTTATATCCACATTTTGTCCCATAGAAGTAATTTACCAGTAACAAAAATAATTTGCAATAAATAGAGAATTATGAATCAACCTGTAGAACGTGTCAAATTAGTGTATTAGATACAACTGTGGGAAAGAAACATTAGTAATTTATGTTTTCTTTTATATTTACTGTACTTTGTTTAATATTACTAATTCTATATAGAATAAGTTGCTAAATGAAATAAGGGGAAATCACCGTAATTGAAACCTGAAAGTTATTGTTTGATAAAGCAATATCTAGACCATACTGTGTTTGTGGAAAGAAATACTGGATATTCCTAACTCGCACCTCAAAATTTCGCAGAACCGTACAGCTAAAACATATAGTTTAGACTAGACTTATTGTTTGTAAATTAATAAAAATATTTAAAAAATGTGCCCCAAGACTTTTTTTAATTTGAACGCTAATGAACATCTTTCATGGCAAGGATATAGGACTTCTCTAAACGTTTTCAATTAATAATGTATATCAGTTTAGTTAGGTATATTATTGCGATATAGATAGTGCCTCTTTCACGTGGGTGAGAGAAATTTAGACATATGGCAGATACGAAACGGGGTCAAAATTCAGTGTGGGTGGTTGGGTTTTATTCTGGAAATGGCTCATCAGATGAATAATGTTTCAGTTACAGTTATGTATTGTTAGAAAGCATGAAGTTAGGAAGGTCGAATGTATGTCTAGGTGGCAACGAAGGTCTTGTTTATACGACGCACAAAGGAGATTGTAACTGTTTTTGGCAATCAACTTTTCTTTTTTTCTTCGTTATAACGAACAGACTGCAAAGGTATGATTTCATGGTGAATAATCATATGGTCTGATGTGTAATGGTTCGTTTGTAATTACTTGTCAGCTAGTTGTAGAGTCAGGGATAAAGTGGATAAAGGATGTAGTCGAGGATATAAAAATAGACATCAGATTTTATAAATGGAGTAAATTCCGCTATGCATCCATAAAATCAACCGATAAGCTAGATGTTTCTATGCAATTTAATTGTAAATATATTTCTAAAGTTGTATCATCCACTTAGATATAAGAAGTTTTCGACATATATCAATTTTTGTAAATGCAACGTAAGAAATATTCACGTCGCATATCCAAAGAAGTTGCAATATCTCGAAGCTTTGACTCATAACTACAAAAATTGAAAAAATAATCAAATACGCGGTTTGTATAAAAGCAACGCTTTTGAACCTTAGGCCTGCTCTGGAAAAAATTGGTGAGGGAGGGGGAGGTAAATGGCTACTACAACCCCCTGTATTCTATTCTTGTGTATTGTTTTGACAAAAATCTGCTTTTTTTTGTTTTAAACTTGACACCCTTTATCATGAAATAGAGGCTCCTAAATAAAAAATAGAATAAGAAAAGTTCCTTTATTTTCGCTCAAAGAATCTGTGTAATGTATTTTTTTCGAAGGCAATAATATTCATATTAATTATATTTTTAGAATAATTGCAATTCCATTATTATAATTATATTGCCCAATTTGCTCAAAGTAAATAACTTTTTGCTTATTCTTGTAATAAATAATTAGATGCTTTTCAGAATTAACACTAAATATATTACGTACCAAAGAAATATGTATGAATACCGCAATAAATAAGACTTAAAATATATATTTTAAACAAAATAATAAATTCGTCAGTTCAACATTTACTTATCTTATTGTCTTTTTACTTATTTTACTATTATTTTGTAGTTATAACTTCACTTGTATATCTAGATATTTAGTATCAATTAATTTACGGAGCTATCCAAAAGGTTTGCACCATATGGCAACAAACTTTATGTATAAATTTAATAAATTCCTTCGATTGTCAGTTGTCTCTGCATGTCGTCAAATCAAAATAGCGCCCATCAAACATCATAAAACGTGTGTTACATAGAGGGGCAGACCAAAACTGCAAATCGGCCCAAGAGTATAATACCTAACTTTATTCCCTCCCTACGAGGGAAAAATTGCAAAATTGTCAGGAATCGCTTTTTCCACATAATGAACTAAAACTTTATATTCTTGGCTAATTTTGTGAATGGTTTTTAAACAACTACGGTGAACTTCATAATATCACCTTTTTTTTGGATGAAGCCTGGTTTCATTTAAGTGGTTACGTAAACTCACAGAATATGAGAATGTGGTCTTCTGAAAAACCAGATAACTTTTTTGTCGAGGGCCCTCTACACGCTCAAAAAATTGGAGTTTGGTGTGCTCTCAATCGAAGGAGGATTTATGGACCTATTTTTTTTTAATGGTACTCTTACTGCGCAAAGGTATAGAGAAGAAATTATCGCTCCTTTTGTTAACCAGCTGGAAGAAAACGAAATTACTTTCAACAAGATGCCGCAAGGGCACATACGGCAGGCGAGACGATGAATATGTTGAGGGAAATTTTCCAAAATCGACTAATAAGTCTCAATGCTGAACATGAATTTCCACCGAGGTCATGTGATATTACGCCGTGTGATTTCTTTTTGTGGCCTTACCTTAAAAACACTATTTTTGAACTGCCTATTCCTGATTTAAACCATCTGCAGGCTCGACTTATAGACAAGATTCGTGAAATTAACAATACCCCGAGCATCTTAGAAAATGTCTTTAATTCTTTGAGGAACAGGTGTGAAAAGTGCTTGGAACAAGGAGGGGGACACTTTCAGCAGCTGCTTTAATTTATTGTTATAACAAGGAGGGG